CATTCCTGAAGAGTGCCCCGAAGGAATAAATAAGAGTCATCAGCAAAGAAGAGGTGAGAGATCCTGGGTGCTCGAGGGGCAACCTTAACCCCCTCCAGCCGCTTCTCCGCAATTGCTTGCCGAAGCAGAGCCGCAAAACCCTCAGTGCAGATAACAAAAAGCAAAGGGGATAGGGGGTCGCCCTGCCGGAGACCTCTAGTCGGAGAAAAATACCCAGAGGGGTTCCCATTCATAAGAATAGTAAACGACGAAGAACGGAGACATTCATGGATCCAATCTCTCCAGACAGAGCTGAATCCCAATTTGTCCAAAACGCCAAGAAGAAAGGCCCACTCAACTCTATCATAGGCCTTTTCCATGTCAACCTTTAGAGCCATGTAGCCTTTCTTACCTCGCGTTTTGATTTTCAGGTAATGCATCAACTCATGCCCGAGAAGGACATTATCAATGATCTGGCGCTCCCGAATGAAGGCATTTTGTCCCTCCGATATGATCTGGGGAAGTAGCATAGCAAGTCTTCCTGCCATGATTTTGGTTATGATCTTATAAACAAACTGGCATAAACTGATCGGACGGAGCTGGCGCATATTCTCCACATTATCAACTTTGGGAATCAAAGTGAGCCAAGTATGATTAAAGCTGCGGAGCATGCGACCCGTCGCAAAGAATGAGCAAACCGCCTCAGAAACCGAATTGCCCACAATGTCCCAAAAAGCTTTAAAAAACTTCCCAGTAAATCCATCGGACCCGGGCGCCTGCTTTGAGCCCATAGAAAAGACTGTGCTGCGAACTTCCGCAGGGAGGACTTCAGCAGTCAGTAGGTCATTCATTTCAGGGGTAACACTACGAGTAATCGGCAGAGCCGCCACTCTCTCAGACATATTAAGGACCTGGTTTTCAGAGGTAAATAAAGTCTGGTAGAAAGTATCAGCCATCGCAGCCTTCTCGCGTTCATCCGTGACCCACTCCCCTTCCTCACTTCGTAGCCCAGCCACGAAGTTTCTCTTCCGTCGAACCCGAGTGACCGTATGGAAATACGAAGTATTCTTATCACCTCTCTTCAGCCATCGCACCCGGGATTTCTGTTGCCAATAAACCTCTTCCGCTTCCCATTGTCTACTGAGCTCAATCTCCAGACGTTGAACCTCATCCCAATCAATAGGGAGACAAGATTTAATTCTATCAATCTCAGACTGAAGAGTCTTAATGTTGCGCAAGGAGTTCGTCGTACCAGCTCGACTCCAGTCATAAAGCAGGTGACGGAGCTTTTTAAGGCGTTCCCAGAGGCAAAACATGGGAGTACCCTGTACCTCTTCCTGCCAAACATAACTGACCATTGCCCTGACCTCAGGATTATCTGCCCAACGGGCATCAAACCTGAACAGGGGACGACTAGCTCTGGCATAGATCTTGTCTGAGAGAATCAACGCTCTATGGTCCGATCCCTGATCCGTAAAATGTTTGAGAATAGTATCAGGGAAAAGGTCAATCCAAGCCTGAGAGCACAAGGATCTGTCTAATCTCGCACGAATGCACGCGGGGCCCATCCGCTTATTAGTCCAAGTAAAAAGGTCACCCTGGTAGCCAGGGTCATGCAACCCGAGATCCTGAATAAAGTCCCGAAGACTAATAGCTTGGGCGGCATTCCAAGGAAGCCCACCATCCTTCTCACTTTCATGGAGAGTCGTGTTAAAATCACCAATTACCACGAAAGGAAGCTGCATATTTGCGCAAATATCACGAAGCTGAACCAGCTGGGAAGCCCGGATCGCAAGATTACAACTAATGTAGACAAACACCACCACATAGGAAACATTTATTTCATTAACTTGAACACAAATACAAAAATCAGAATGAAATAACACCGAAGCGTCAACCCCGGGGGACCAAGCCGCTACTAACCCACCAGATGCATCAATCGCATCAACAAAAAAACAACGAGAATAAGCAAAACCTAAACCCCGCATACGACGGGAAACTACTCTCCGGCACGAACGTGTCTCCGAAAAGAACACCAGGTCCGGTTTATTAGAATGCAGTAAACTAACAGCAGATTGGAATGTGAGGGATGGTCCAATGCCCCGCACATTCCAGGCGAGAAGCCTCATTTATCCGATTGGGGCCATTCACGGCTGGCTACCTCCACCGAATCAGATTCCACAATCTCTTCCACGAACTGCTTCTTAGGAGTAGGGTTCTCCGCAATCGCCCCCTCCATCTCGTCAACATGACGTTTTTTGCTCCCCAACCCTGGGTCCGATAGGTTGGACCCATATTCATTGAACTCAAGGTTCTCAGGGTTCACCACCTTACCATTTACCCCCAGCTCCTCATCATTTGCCGCCAGAGAGCCAATAGGTCGGACCAACCCCGGGTCGGTAACTGAATCAGCCATGGAAAGCCCACTTTCGAACGCCTCAACAACTTGGCGCACGCGATTTGGTTGGTGAAGCCTTCACACCATAATTATTATTTATAAAATTAGTAAATGGTTGGAAGAGGAGGTATTGAGGACTGGTTGTTGCGTAGTATTGTTGCTCGACTGCTCCGTAAGATGGGAACTTCATCATTGGTACGCGGATGATATGTCTTACCTCAGCTGTGAAGACAACCAGGAGCCATTGTTTCGTTCTTTAGCTTGTTAGCTCATTTCCTTATTGTGTTAGCCCTGCATTTGGTTTTCAGACTTGAGGACAAGTCTATATTCAAGTGGTCGGGATTGTAATGAATTTGGACTTAGTTGTACTAAGGATTTAGTTGGGGGACCAGTTTGTAATTAGGTGGTCGTACAAAAAGAGGGAATCTTAAAAAATATTAAAGCATTTTCAGATTCCAACCCCATTCACGTAAGCCTCCCTCATCGCACAATTATCCACGTCAGCCCTTTAAAAGTTTCCTTCTATCTCTTTCGCGAGAAAACCAGTGCCCCTCCCTTTTCCCTATAACTCAACCCCAGCCAGTTCCTTCTCCCCAAATCGATAACGATTCATCCCCAGATTTCACTTTCCCTTCCGCGACCATTACCGCCCCGCCGTTCTATCTTTAACTTTCCTTCGAAACCCCAATAACTACTACCTCATCCAACCCTTCAATTTCATCAAGAAATGGTCTTGGCAAAAGCGCTCAGATTGTTCGTCGAGGCGGCGGGTGGCGGCACATAAGCGGCATACAGAACGACCGGATGCCGGTAATGAAGCAACGAAGGAGCAGCCGGTAATGCATGCGTCGACAGAGACAAAGGAGGAAGATTATGAATTTGAAGTTTGGTTTCTTTTGAATCTTGAGACTTTCCAACTAATTCACAACCCTTCTTCAAACACTGTTGGAGAAATCCTAAGTTGACTCATCCACCGTGTCCCAAGACCGCTATTGAAAATTCATACTGAATCTGTTATGTGTTGCCGAGTTTTGTATCGGGATCGAGTTTCATATTCAATGGTGTTTTCTAATTTCACTTTTCCCTTTTGGTTAATTATGTAAATTGAGCTCAAAGTCATGGGTATCGAACCTTAATCAACCAGGTCAAAACATATTGAACCCGACATTAGTATTTTTACTTTTTCTATCGAGAGCGAGTTTTTTACTTTCGTTGAGAATGACAATTGCACCCAAACCCATGGTATTGGCGAGTTTTGTATCAAGAGCGAGTTTTATGTAGTTGGCAGGTTGGGTCGAGTGTGAATTTGTTAAGAACTCGATTCGACAGAGTTAAAGCGAGTTTTGGATCAAGAGTGAGTTTTGTCCACTTTAATGGTTTTTATTTCTCCTTTTCCTTTTCGTTTAGAATGACAATTGAACTCACACCCGGTGCTAACGAGTTTTTTTTTTATCGAGAGTGCGTTTTATCTGCATTTATTTGTTAAAAACTCAGTTCAAACCAGTCAAGGCGAGTTGTGCTCGCTGTGTAAAGGTTTTGGTATGGAGCGACTTTTATCCACTTGAGTGTTTTTTTATTTATGTTTTTCCTTTTGGTTGAGCACCCAAAACCTAAGGGTATCCAACCTATTCAATATGTTCAAAACAAATTGAACATGGTGTTCACAAGTTTTCGGTCAGGAGTGAGTTTTATTCTCTTTTGTAATTGACTGGTCAGGTCGGTTGTGAATTTATTACAAACTCTGTTCAACCCTATCAAAGAGAGTTGAAAATGATGTTGTCGAATTTTGGATAGTGGGCGAGTTTTATCCGTTTTAGTGTTTGTTAATTTCTCTTTTTTCTTTCTGGTTGAGAATGACATTGGACCCAAATTCATGGGTATTCAAACTAAGTCGATCCGGCCAAAGTGAGTTGAACCTTCTCAAACCTACGATTAATCCCGAAAATCCATAAAAAGGAGAATCAAGATGAACTTAAAAAAAAAACAAAGCAAAATAAATACAAACTAATCAATAATGTTATCAGAGAAGATTAAACATATAAATCATTTGCTAGACGACATGGCTAAAAAGAACAATAAATCAATCATTGGGATTTTTTTTTGTCAATAAATCACTCTTCATAAGAGGAAATCGTTTAGATACAAAGTAGCAAGGGAGTTCATACATCCCTCGAACGAAGCCAAAAAACAGAAGTCGAATCTCGAAAACAATTGAGACGACAAACTCATAACTTTACGGGCCATACAGTAAGCCGCTCTGTTTCGAACTCTTCCCCACGAAGAACCCAACCTGAGATAAAAATGAGTTCATACATCAATCACCGGGATTGAAGGGCAAAAGGTCAAATGAGTCCACAAGGCCCCATTGAAAAGATCCCACGAACAGCAGCCCAAAGCTAGTATGCCGTCGTGTAGTCGACCTTGAATTTGAATGAATTGGAATTGTCCGAATCCATGTATTGCAGTTGGAAGAATGGGGAGGAATTGTGTTATCCGCAGAGAAATCCGGGACAAAGGTGGTTGAATTGAACTAAGCTCAACGTGATTCAATGAATATGACCTCCTCCTGCTGCTACACTATCACATCAGTCGATCACCCCAAATTCACTGCAGCTGCAAAAACCCAACTAAGGCAACCCACAACACAAGCCAACTCATTCATGTCAACAAAACCAGTTGCTCGTTTCCTTTTCATTCTCTGTAATAGGTTCGTTCATCAGAGGGTTTTGCGCCATGACAAAATTAGTTACATAGCTGCTACTTAAGTTACGTACACATATACCCCCAAATATATACAACATTAACCCTCCTTCCGCCGCACCAAACCCTCCTCTCTGTAACAAGGTTTACATTCGTCAATACTGATTCAACCCTCCAAACAATGGAGAAGCAATCAAATAGCGTACAGCTTCTTATAATCCGTCTCCAGATCCGATTCGGGCATCATCGACATCGAACCGGACCTCGACCTGCTCAACGACGACCTCCTAATGTTCCTCTGCTTCGAAGCCTCCAGCCTCGCCACCACCACCCAGTAACACATGGTGCCAATCGTCGCGGTCATGATGATCGTACCGATCGCGGTCACCCAAATCGCCAACCACTTCGCCTTGCTCCCGACCACGACATATGACAACGCAATGAAGGCAACAGAGATCATCGCGCAGGCGAGCCACATGAGCTTGTTGATCACCGTCATCAGCTGCTTCTTCGCCTTCCTCTCTATCACCACGATCGACGTCTGGACCACCACGACGGCCAGGGAGATGAAGAGCGCGATGGAGTCGAACACGATGAAGATGATGAAGGGCGGTCTCGATGCGATCCGCGCCTGTCCAGCGGACTGGCCGGGGGCGAGCTTGTTCGGGTCGTCGGCGTACTGCCCCGGGACCTGGAAGATCGCTGCAAACGCCACGGTGGCGATTAGCACCGCGACCACCGTGGTCGAGGTGATGGCGTTGTTCAGGCCTTCGGTGTGCATCTTGTTCAGCCTCTTGGCGATCCCCTGGACTTTCTTTCGGGTGATTCGGGTCGTCTCCAGCTGGTTGTGCACCTCGTGCTTTATGTCGCTCACCGTTTGCTTCAGCTCTCGAGCTGGGTTCGTTTTCCCGTTGGGCTTCAGTGATTTGGCCGACAGCACGCCGTTCTTCTCCATCACGGCCGCGAGTTCTTTGTGCCCTGTTTTCTCCGCTGTGTCGAATGCAGTCTCCCCCGACTTGTTAATCGCGATCTTGTCCAGCCCTTGATGCTCGAGCAACTTCACAACAATCTGCAATCATTTGTTCATATCAGCTTTCATACATTGAAAAAACTCAATTGGGTATATAAAGAAAAACCCTAGAAAACTGTTGATTCTTGATTTGTCGTGCTAACAAAAAAAAATAAAAGATTGGGGGTTGAGGATTTTTTTTCCTGTACCTGAGTTCGGCCCTTCCGAGCGGCGATGTGGAGGGCGGTGTTGACCTTGCCGTCGACCATGTTGATCAAGGAAGGATCGGACATGACCAATTCCTCCACCAGCTCGGCGTTCTGTCCTTTAACCGCCATGTGAAGCGCCGTTTGCCCCTTCTTGTCAGTTCTGGTGGCGATTGCAAGGTCTTTACCCAGAAGCGCCTTCACTATCTGCAGATGCCCATTTCTCGCCGCGGAGTGCAGGGCCGTCTTGCCGTTGCTCTTGGCGATCGCCGCCACGGTGCCGCATCGCTCCAGGAGGAAATCCACAACGTCCACGTGTCCCTGGGCGGCGGCCGAGTGGAGCGCCGTCGTATTGGACGAATCGAATGTCATCGCCAGCTCTGGGTTCGCCTCCATCAGAACCCTCAATGTTTCTGCAAAAAAAAAAAAAAAAAACGATCTAATCGAAAAGGATTTTAAAATTAAAACCCAGTGATTTTTGTTTTCTCCCGTTTCAAATTTGAAGGGTTTAGAGTTGAGCCGTACCGAGATTGCCCTGCTTGGCGGCGACATGGAAGGCGTCGTAGCCGTTCCTGGCCTTGATCCCGGCCAATCCGGTGTCGCAGTGCTTGATGAGTTCCTTCACGATGTCGACATGGCCGCACTCGGCGGCGACGTACAGCGGCGTTTCACCGGACTGGTTCTGCTTCGAAAGCAGCTTCTTCAACTCCTCCGCCGCCGCCGCCGCGGCCGCCCCATCGGAGGCTTCCCCGATTAATTCCAGGACCAGGTCCAAGTTGCCAGCCCTGGCCGCCCCGTGAAACGGCGAGTCGTCTCGCTTGGCGGTGAGTTGCTTGGTCATCGTCTTCTTCTGCTGCTGCCTCGCCGGCGCATCCATTATTGGGGAGGGGTGAAAACACAAAAAACAGAGAGATTCGATTCCCCCTGGAGGATGGAAATGGATCGGAACCCAAAGCGTCTCTGTTTCCGTTTATTTACATGATTGAGAAGGAGAGATTGTGGATAATCAGACAAAGAGAAGGCACGTGGGGGTAAAGCCTGGCAAGATTGTTCCCTCTCGATTCCCCCCTTTAAACAAAAGCTTAATTATTCCAAGCTCCTGCAAAGAGATTTACGGTTCCCAATCAGTATAATGAAGAAGAGAGAACGCAATTCTTGACCTCATTTAAGTATTCAACAGACATGGATGGATAATCACAGACTCCCACACAATATATACAAAGATAAAGGCCGGAAAACGATAGAAACAGAGGGAAAGAGAGAGAGAAGCAGACGAAAAACTGCAGAAAAGGAAGAAGACGACGACTCCGTGACCTTGAGTGAGTAAAAGGGGATCTGGAATTGCTGCCCCAAAGTTGGAAACTTTGGTAGCGGCAAACAATAATTGGAGGGACGGAGAGAAAGAAGAAGGAGATGAAGTCTCGGAAAGTTTTCAACTTTCCAGCAGCAGAAGTCAAAATTACGAAAAGGAAAAAACAGAGGGAGGAGATTTTACAGCATCATCATCGTTTGGCTGTTGATTCAATTCAAAGATGATTACCTCAGGGGTTGAGAGGGAGATGCTTTCTGACTCCGGCTTCTACTCTGGTACTCGCTCCTTGCCCTGTCTCTCTAGAAAGAGAGGTCAAAATGGAGCTCAAAACTTGGACTGGGTTCAGGGGGAGAGAGAGAGAGAAGTGGTTATGGTAGAAGGAGGAAATGATTTTTGGTTTTATTTTATTTTATTTATTGTGAGTGAATAAACAAAAGGAAGAATTGAGTCGGGGAATCGGCTCGGTAGTCGCTGCTCGCTATCGTGGGCCGGGCCCAGGGGATGAGGAGCGAATGAGTGCAGGGAGGGTTAACAAAAAGAACCATAAGAAGTTCAATTTATTCTTATTTATCCTTAACATTAAGGTTTAATACTGAATGATTGTTGTCTTTTGTACCACCCATATTTTTTTTTGGGTAGTGGTGTGAATTTTGGATTAAAGAACTCATAGTTATCTGACACAACTCGTGTTATAACTTGAAACTATTGTTTTGAGTGTTATTATATAAAAATGTATTTGTGTAGTCAGCGGCGGATCCAGGATTTAGTAGAGCATTAGGCCGCATTTGAATAGGAAATTATATACTGTAAACAAATTAGGTACAACCTAACATCATAATCGACAACCATCATCACAAATTAAAAATGAAGATCCTTCGTACAACCGATCTACAACTAGAAAGGAGTATGGTATAAGAAGACAAACCGAAAATCAAGAAATTAGAAGAACACCATCACCACTATCAATCAACCTGACCACCGCTATGCCATGCCGTCCATCAGGCACTGGCTGAGATCACTTGGATCACTACGCTTCAATACCCTAGCTCTCCCAATTTCAGTAGCATGACTCCATGCAACTTTTAATTTATGAATGTATCAGTACGCATTGGTTCTTTAGAATGAGCAAGAACCATAATATTCCAAATACGATACCAGAAACTACCATCTAATAGCTCCCTCATGCTACATATTGAGGTCATGTGTCCTCAGCTTCTTCGAAAAATCAAGACACTCATTTGTGATAATTGAAAACCAATCGCAAACATTGAATTCAAAGACAAGCAGGAAATCAAAATGTAAGCAACCAAACAATTTGGACCGGCCAAATCAACAAAATCCCAGGAGAAAAGATAACACTTTTTTTAACTACCAGAGAGCACAACGACAAAAAGAAACGAACTTTTTCATCAGATCAAGGGACAGATCACCCAATGAGCAATATCCAGAGGTAATTTTGAATACCCAAATGATGAAACAACAAATAGAAGGATAGAGATCTGACGGGAATTACAAATCAACACAGCTTGCAACTTGGGTGTCACAAGCCGGTGAGAAAGAAGAAACAAGGCGTGCCCAGAAGATGAGCAGCACGCTGATGAGGCGCTATTCGGGGAATAGCAAAAAAAGTTGAAGAGGAAATATTCGGGGAAAAGGGATATGCGGAGTGCGTATGTGTAAGGGAATTGGGAATTGATAAATAGAAAATAAATTGACTAAAGGAGAAGAGTAGAAGAGTGAAGAGGGAAAAAGCAGAGGAAGTGCGGTCATTACAAGTTTGACATTTGGTAGGCGGACTAGCAAAGGAAAGAGGATAGAGGGGTGGGTCAGGTCCAATTAATAAGGGGCCTGAAGAGGTGGAGAAGGCTCTATATAAGCTTTGACCCAAGGGAGGGTTGGGTCCTGGCTCAGGGTGGTCCTCCCCAGATCCGCCGCAGTGTGTAGCATATAAGCATATATGTGAGGAAGGTATGATAATTTTAATTTGTTATATTTTTTTCTCGTGATCTCGCTAAGCTAATGCATTCTTCAATTGGTAATTTTGACACGGATTTAATACAGGCTATGCTTCACGTCATCTTTTCATTTGCGTTCGTTTAAAATGAATAACCTCTTGAACTTATTTCAACAAATGTTTATGAGAAATACAAGACACATATTGAATCAAATTGCACTCCGTCAAAATTAATGCAACAACTTCTATGCATTTTGATATTTTTCGATTTGGATTTTTGTTTTTGTTTTGTTTGAAGTGTTAATTAGTTATATAATATTTTCTTTGTAAGGTAGAATAGTTGCAGTTTTTCAATGTTGAGTTGATATTTTATTTATAATAAGTATTGTTCACCCGACCAAACCCTATCATAAATAAATAAATAAATAAATAATAGGGTTCTAAATTTTTAAATGGGCTTACATTCAATACACTCAAAAACCGAAATACAAGAACTGAATGATTAGATGACTAAACCTGAATTAATCTGACCAATGTAAACCACTTAAAAGAGTTCGATTGGCGCACAACAAATGGGCGGAGGCCGGAGTGCAGTGGGCTTATGATATTTTGGCGCTGTGTTGTGGTTGTTGAGGAGGCTCAATCGCATTCAGCAGTTGCAGCTTCGTTTGGTATACCGCCGGCGTCGTTTCGTTTCCGGCCGAAGCGAGCCGTGGAGCACGTGATTAAATTTTCTTCCTTCCCGAGAATGAAATAAAAAACGGGGAGAGGAAAGAAGGGGAAAGTTTTGTTAAACGCGTCGTGGGGTCAGATTTCGCACCTCATCACTCGATCTCCGACCAGCGAGTTTTGATATATAACAAATATCTGGAAATAATGGGGGGAGCTAAGCTAACAAACACCTGACGTGACGTCTCGCAACCTCAGTCAGCGTCACTTCTTTCACGATGGCTCAGTTAATTACAAACTTACAATCGACACAAAAAACAAGATGTGAGGTTTCATGCACCAAGCGTCTCAAAATTGAATTGGTTGTAAGTATTGGTTATAAGAACCGAACGGTATCAATGGTTGGGTTAGTGGGATCGTCAAACCAATTATGATTGCGGTTCGGTTCTGTTGATGTGAGTTAAATCGGACTATCAGCCGTTGCGTGGACTATAATCTCCTCGATATAGTGAAACTAACTCTCTCTCTCTCCCGTGGACTAGCTAACACATATCGTGTTAGTGAACCACGTAAATCGTGTGTCTGTGTTTTTCGCTTTCGTATTCTTGCTTTATCGATACCGGCGATTTCCCGAACCGTATCAAACCATAATTATTAATTTTATTTATGTTTAATCTTTTCTCATTTTTCAACCTCATTGTCGATTTTACGTGATCCACTACCTACTGTCACCGTAATTTTTAACTTGAATTGAAAAAAATTATGATTTCTTTTATGAGATGGTTTGAATGATTGTTATATATTTTGGGGATTATATGAATTTGAAATTGTTAGTGAAACCTCTCGAGCCACGTCCTCCTTCTTCCCTTGTTCAAATAGACGCTTCAACTCCCGGCAAGACCCACAAGTTTCTTCAGCGGTGTAATCTAGAGGATGTTCTAGAGATGGAGGGAAGGGACTAGGCTCATGAGGTACCCTCGTATTAAGTGTGAAGACTTGTTCTACCCGAGTCAAATCCTCTTTGCCCTCTCCCGTGAGTTCCTTTAGCTCTCTGCTAATATCGTTGATCTAACTCTGAATAGCTGACTCTCTAACTAGGCTAGCTTCCTCCCCTTCCATTTGTCTGCATAGTTCATTCACTTGCTCGAGGTCATTATATCGAAATCCAGTTAGATACCTCCTTTTGATGATCGCCTTGTATTTCTCTTGGAGTCCATTGAAAAAACTCTCATTGAGGGGATCTTCTGAATGCCCAAGATTCAGATTCAGTTGTATCAAAACACCAAAACGTTCCTAAGCCTGCTGGAAATTCTCTTGAACTCTTTGTAGGAAGGTGACAATATCATTCTTATAAATAACGACTATTGTGTTGGCAAGATACCGATACACGAAAGTTTCCATGACTTGACTCCACGATGGGCAGTAGCTTGAAATTCCTTATACCAAACGGCGGGATCCCCTCGTAGAGTGTAAGTAAAGAAAATACCATTAAATTGATCCTGAGTGTACCCCTGGTATCTTCAAAGCTTTGGCAACACTTAAAAAGTATGACATAAGATCGAGAGCACTTTCATCATTCCCTCCTTGGAATTGAGGTTGTTGGCGAAGTGTAACGATAGTCCCCTACACAATGCATTCCAACTCGTTTCTATCCGTGATGTATAGTCTAAAAACACAACAAAACTCTACAACCCATGACGTACAAAGTTGAATAACAAAACACAAAAATGATATAACTACTAAAATTATATAAGTACAAACTAAGAAAATAAAGACTAAACTAACAACTCGATGGTTTTCTATTAGTTATCGAGGTTCCCCGGCAACTACGTCAAAAAGCTTGATCAATTCATTCTGTGCAGGTCATTGTCAGTAGTTTGCACGCATCAATAACTACCACATCCTATGCCAAGTTTAACCTAAAATGGCGTTGTCATATAGTGGCAATCAAGGTCATATTCACTCGGGTCTCGGTACCTTAGCCTACTTCCCACGTTGTTGGAGGATTCTTGTGAAATAACTAGTAAAGAGAATAAACAAGGATAAAAGCACGTACATCGGGGAACTAACCCTCGCAATAGCTTAGGTCTATCATGCAAAAGTCTAAACATGTTGGGTTAAGCGAATATGGTGAGTGAGCTATTTTTCGTGGGCTTTCGTGATTATCCACACACCTCCGGGTAAATCCTACCTACCCCATTGTCACCTCGATATAGGCTCACGTATCTGGGGCTTTAAGAACTTGGCTCCTTTTAATGATACTACCCACCGTCCACACTGAGGTTTCATCCCGAGTTCCATCTAGAAAGCGTTCTTATGGTAGGAGTTCGGTTGCCTCTTCCACCACAAGACCCTATTCATTCATCTAACCCTAAAACTCCATACCCAAATTAGAAGCTCAAGTAGGATAGTAGAGAAGATTAGGGCAACTTATCTAAGCATAATTAAAGCTAGATGAAGCATTAAAATAAACTAGAAAAACACATTCATTCAAAATCCTAACATATTCATTCATTACATAATAGCCCTAAAACTAGGGTTTGAGGGTTAAAACTCTAGTACATTAAGAAACTACTCCATAAAGGAGGAAAGAAGATACATAAAAGAATTGGGAAGACTTGATGTTGAAGAAGATGGCTCCTCTCCTCCTTCTCTTTTCTCCTTCCTTCAGCTTCTCTCTCTCTCTAAACCAGAAATTTCTATCTCAAAATCATCTCACTTAAAATGGGGGAAGAGGTCCTCTATTTATAGACGTAAGGAGGGCAGACAAGTTCATGGCCGATCAGGGGGAGTTCGCGGGTGTGATCTTTACCTTGGAGCCCCCGATCTTCAGGCTTCGCCATTTTGTCCTTCATCTTCGGGAAGTTCGCGGCTGACTTCACAGTCGCGATCCGTGAGTCGCGGCTGCGAACTTTCTCGCGGTCAGGGAAGACGGTGACCGTGATTCGACCGTCGAAGCTTTATACCTTATCTTGGGTGGCTTTCTCACGAAGTTCACGCCCAAGGGCTCCATTTTCGCGGCTGGGAACTATGGTCTTTAGGTCGCGATCTTCTCTCCTGCTTCGCGGTCTGCTGTCTCGGCCGAGATCTTTCCCGTCCAGGCTGTGATCATTAGCCTCCTGCCCATTTTCACTACACATGTGCCCTTTTTCAGACCTAATTCACATGTATCTTCTAAAACACCCTAAAATCACGACATAATTAAATAGAAACGAATAGAGATGCAATCAATGACATTATGCACATGAATTAGCACGAAACGAACATAAATATGAAGGATAAATAACACTAATTTGCATGTTATTAGTAGTACGGATAATTATTGTAAAGATGACATAATAGTTAATATTGAAAACTTCTAATTATTATAGTAATTAATGTCGACACTGTCTGGGTGTGCCGTTAAAGATTGGTTTATTCAAATCGAGATCTTTATGTTGACACATTGAAAATTGGAGAGAGGAAGTGTTTGTGAATAAGGTAGAGTGAGGAACAGTTTGGTTGACTCAGTTTACCTGATACAATAGTTAAACTTACAAGTTTGAACGTATTTGACTAAGTTCCACCATATCCAATTTAAAGTTAAATTGGGCACCCTATAGGCTGACCAATTATGGTTAAACCCAATTTGATATGTTAGTTTCACACTTATTTAACCATCATGTCGACAAATCAACACTCGAGTGGGAGAGATAGGCTAACTATATGTCATGGTTATGGGTTAGACTTCGAGCTTCGAGATTGCTCGACCAATAATTATTACAATTGTTATAATTAGTTAATATTTAAGCATTACTATCTTATATAGTATTTTTATTAGTATTTATGATTATTATATAAAGTTATTTTTATTACTTTGGGTGAACGTTTTTAAAATTTAACAAATATATTTAAAATAATATGATTTACTTACTTTTCATCCTATTTGCATCCACTACCTTTTTTTTTTTTTTGTTGCATAAGCGTGATATATGTTTATATTTTTTGTTGTTTAGGTATTTTTTATAGAAGTTGTTTAGGTATTCCATTTTCTCTTTTAACTTAAAATTCCTCGAATTTGCACCACTCTAATTACCAAACATAATGTCAAATATCAATTTGCTTTGTTTCTGCAGTAATAAATTTTTAAATCAGTGGTAACTGATTTTAAGTAACGGTCTACAAATTTACTGTGGCCATCAAATTAATGAGGTGTCAATTGATAAATAAAAAATTCATTTTAATTTCGCTTCATCATTTCCTGACTTGACCATTAAATGTTAATTTGCGATTCATGCTAGCAATTTGTGCTAAAAGGGAAGGATGAGAAAGTGGTGCAATGAAAATTAAAAATGCAATTATTTTTAATCGTCACCTCATTAATCAAACTATCAGTATATAATATTTCAATGAAATTACAAGGAGGGAGACCATTGACAGTGGCAGATCTAGAATTAGAATACTGGGCCACATTTAAAAAACGGTGGAGAGGGTTTGGCCGTAACTTTATAAACATTAAAACTAGCACCAGGCCCGGCCGGTTGGCCGGGGAATTTTTGTAATTACGGGATCGTTTGGTTTTGGTAATTTTTTGGTTGAGATAGCTACAATACATGTATTGTTCACAATGTATTTTTTTTTTTTGAAATTTTTGCAAAAACAATACATGCATTGTTTGCTTGATGTGATGGAAACTATCACTCATATTATCTCTACTAAAACTTGAGATTGTTGATATAGTTTTTAGCAGGGGTTATATGTATAATATGCCCCTTTACTATGCATTTTTATCAAACATGCCCCTTTATTATGTTTTACATCAGAAATGCCCTTTTATTTGAAAATCATAATCAAACATGCCTCTCTGTTAAATTTTCCGTCCAAAAATCGTTAACTCCGGTCGAACCATATTTTGAGTGACCCGACCAAAAAAAAATAGAAGGCAAAATGTCAATTTTGCCCTCACTCTATTCCCTACAGTACACCAAGGCTCTTTCATCTTCCCCGTTACAGCCTCTCAAACGTGGACCATCCCTCCATTCCGTTCGACTTCCTCCTCCCACCTTGCGCCGATCCTGCAGTCGATTTGTCCATCTCTAGCGCCCCCCTTCATCGTCGAGTAAACAGCGTCGAATTCGGCCTCTTCCCCTTCCTCTTTCATCGTTTCTCTCCCCCTAAAATCCCTATTCCTAATTTCCTCTTCAAAGAGTAGTACACCTACGAGATATTGTGCTCCGGCGGTCCATCATTATATTGGCGGTAAGAATGGCTTTGAGAGCAGGTGCTTGAAGTTTCCAGCCAAGAAACGTAGTAGGTGAGTTTCTATTCTTAATAAAGGCTTTTAAGTTTCTATCTCTATAATAGGACAAGACATGAGAATTGAATAGTGGTTCTGTTTCTGACAGCAACTTCTTCAAAGGACCATTTTTCAATTGACGGAAAAGCTACCAATTCCTTGAATCAAGTTGGTGAGTTTTCTACTTTTAACTTTACCAGGAATACTTTATTCTTCTTCCACGTTGGTTGGTGTGTAATGTATAGTTAACTTATTTTTTAGGGATTTGAATGGATAATCCAACAATTGTTTTCCACGTTCGAGGGAAGTTTGGAAAGAATGGTGGTGATGTAATATACGAAGGCGGTGAAAAATTGTCATGTTCTGAACTTGATCCGGACTTAATCAGCACTTGGGATCTAGCAAATTTGGCTAAAGAGAAAGCAAATTTGGCTGATGGTTTCGAGATGTACTTCAGAAAGTTGGCAGGACACGGAGATGAGGCTTGGAGGTTATTATGTGATGACAAGGCTGTTATAGAGTTGGTTAATGAGTATAAAGGCAAGGAAGAATATCATGTGTATATTCAACAGTCTTTCTCTGTACATTCATCCATACAAGATGCTAATGATCACGTGACAACAATAGAGGGAGAAAGTACTAAAAACCCAAAGACAGGAGCTACTGAATCCATTGGAGATGAAGTAACAGTGGCAAATTCGGAAGAGGATGTGTGGCATGATGAAGAAATAGATGAATTTGATAGTGACTTTGAGGTGAATCCAGATTGGGTTAGCGATGAGGACGTTGAGGATCGTGAACAAATCGCTATCAAACTGAAAATGGCAAAGGAAAACTTGAAGAGAGGGATACCAATCACATATCATTCGGATGAAGAGGTCGAGAGAAGACAAGAAATGATTGTTGAGGTAGATGGTGGTTTTGACTCCGACGAGATGGGGAGCCATGATGGAACCGATGTTGAAGATGAAGTGGCTGATCATGGAGTATGTAGGAAAAGCAATTTTCCCAAGTTCAATCCGAACTTGGACACACCTTTCTTTGAAGTAGGTATGATCTTCAACACCATGGATGAAGCTAGGGAAGCAATTACCAAGTACTCATTGAATGCCAAGAAAGATTTAAGGGTTAAGAAGTGTGATACAAAAAGGGTTAGAATGGTGTGCACTTATAGTGGGTGTCCATTTGTTCTTCTTATTTCATGGAGTAAAGTAGCCAATGCCTTTCAAATTAAGACCTTGAAGCAGCATCGATGCGGGATACATTTTAAGTGTAGGAAGTTGTCTCCGGTTACGATTGCAAAGAGATACCACAGGAGGATAAGAACAGACCCACGATGGAAGTTGAGAGACATGGTTGAGACTATTAGAGAAGAGCTTGGGTATGATGTGGATGTGAACAAGTGTTCACGGGCAAAAAGATTGGTTCTTCACTTGACAGAAGGGTGTTACCGAGACGAGTATGCAATCTTGTGGACCTATGCTGAGGAGATTAGGAAATCCAATGTCAACTCAACTGTGCGCATCATGGTAAATAGGGACAACCCAGAAGGAAAGCCAAAATTCTGCCGAATGTATGTTTGTTTTGGCGCCATGAAAATGGGCTTCTTATCTGGGTGTAGGAAGGTTATTGCTTTAGATGGTTGTTTCTTAAAGGGTTTGTGCAAGGGGGAGTTGCTTGCTGCAGTTGGAAGGGATGCAAACGACCAGATGTACCCTATTGCATGGGCCGTCGTTGAAGTTGAGTCGAGAAGTTCATGGGATTGGTTTCTGAAGGAATTGAAAGATGATTTGTGCATTGAAGAAGGAGTTGGTTGGTGTTTCAGTTCGGACCAGATGAAGGTATTAGTTCTTAACTTTACAAATATTATCATAGTTAATTTAAGTGGTTTATGGTTGTTGCTTGCTGTTTCTATAGTTATTTGGGTTGCCATTAATTCTATTCGATTACTGTTTAGACATATATGTAATCTATTTATTTATTATTTGATCGATCACAGGGGCTTGTGCCAGCAATAGCCGATCTTTTTCCAAGTGCAGAGCATCGACTCTGTGCTAGACATATATGGTGCAATTGGAGGAAGAAGTACAAAAGGAGGGATTGGCAAACAACCTTTTGGGAATGTGCTAAGGCCTCAACCCCTGCATTTTTCAGTCGAGCATATGAGAAGCTGTTAGCACAAAATGAGGAAGCAGCGAAAGCTTTGGTATCTATAGATCCAAAGCATTGGTCACGTGCCTACTTCTCTACTGAGGTAAAATGTGATTCTGTTGATAACAACATGTCAGAATCGTTCAATGCATCCATTCTAGAAGCTAGATTCAAGGCAATTTATAGCATGTTGGATGATCTTAGAACAATGATGATGACCATGATTGCAATGAAGAAGGCACAAGCAGAAAAGTGGGGCAGACAGTTCTGTCCAAAAATATTGAAGAAATTTGAGGCCAATGCAGAGAAAAGCAAATCATGCCACATCACTCATAATGGGAAGCATGGATATGAGGTTCGACATTGGGATGAGAGGTTTACAGTTTCAATTCCTAGTAGAACTTGTTCCTGCAGAGTGTGGGAGTTGACAGGGATCCCATGCCCCCATGCTATCACATGCTTAGCATATGAGGGAGAGGAACCTGAAGAGTATATATCAGACTGTTTCAAAACACAGAAATGGAGAGACATATATGCTAATGTGTTACAGCCGATGGATGGACCAAGGACATGGATTCGAAGCGAATACGAGGCCATCCTCCCACCTGATTTCAGAGTTATGCCCGGGAGACCAAAGAAGAAGAGAGTAAAGACTGTGGAGGAAATGGAGGACAAAAAGAGACCAAGAAAAAAACGTGTCTACACTTCTAAGCAATTGTTGGCTCGGGATAAAAGGGATCCGGACAAACTCGGTAGAAACGGGAGGGTAATTCAGTGCAAAAATTGTAAAGAGAAAGGCCATAATTCCCGCACGTGTAAGAAATCGAAGCCAGCTGAGGTATGTAGAGTTTTTGTGCCAATGCTGATTGTAGTAAAGAGCTGCCTTCTATTTGCAACTTGTACATTTTTATTAATCGGTTGTATGTGTTTGTTTAGGCTGATGGTGGAGCTAGTAGCAGGAGGTCATCATCAAAAGGAAAAGGACCAGCTGTGGGTGTAGGGACGTGTTACAAGGCTAACAAGTGCTTCGGCGTCTTAAACGTATAATTCTTCCACTTTTTTGCCTCTTATAATTACTACAAGGAGATTATTAATCCTTCCATATTGTCTGTGTTCATATTGCAGCCTGCCTTGATAGGGAAAAGGATGCCTGAGATCCCCAGGGAAGGATAACAACATCAAGGACCATTATGTACTCCATATTTTGAAGATGAATGATCAATGAGTCATGGATGTTTTGAGGACTTCGAACCCTTTATGATAGCTTTTGAAAATGATGTACTGGGATGGGCGACCAACAAACTATCATTAAAATTATTATCTTTTGAAAATGATGTACTGGGATACAATTATACTCTGAAGTTTATGGTTAATGTTTTGTTCTTAGTTAATATAATCAATAGTGATATTATGATATTGCAAGTTGCCCTTTATTTATATATATATATATATATATATATATATATATATCCATTTTAACGGAGGGAAGAGGTCAGGTGGGGTGGGGTGGGGATTAGATGCGTTCGGAAGGGAGAATATGAGGATTAGGTGATTGAAAATTAATTAGGGTTATTTTAGTAATTTTTATCGCTCAAAATATGGTTCGACCGGAGTTAACGGTTTTTGGACGGAAAATTTAACAGAGGGGCATGTTTGATTATAATTTTCAAATAAAGGGGCATTTCTGATGTAAAACATAATAGAGGGGCATGTTTGATAAAAATGCATAGTAAAGGGGCATATTATACCTATAACCCTTTTTAGCAGATTGTTGGGTTCCTTTTTGTTCCAATTATACCCCTAGTTATATCTATATGCTCTAATAAAAGCAAAGGCAAAAGTGATTTTCCCCACAAAAAGTAATATAACTTGTTGACTACTAAAATAACTATCACCAAAACCAAACAACGCAAAGTATATTACATCATTTTCCTTAATTGTATGTATATTACAATGCATGCATTGATCACAATGCATTGATTTAAATATCACCAAAATCAAATGATCCCTAGCTATGTATATTTTATGTATTGTAGATCCATGTAACGCATATTTTCTTCAATATTTTACTACAACCAAGCTGTACAATTATGCAAAATAAGCTTACCAACTACCAAGTAATTGAAAAATGACAAATATAATATGTATAACAATGAAACACAACTAATAGATTCTTGTTCTCATTCCTTATTTTTCCAATACCCTCTCCGCCTCTGCTTTCCCCTTTTCCCTCTCCGTCATTGTATAAACAACAGAAACAGAGCCAACAAACCAGCTGCATGCCACACACAAAAACTTGAAAAGCCAATGTCTATTTCTCTCCCTTCTTTTCTCTCAAAAACTTATCCAGATCTCACCCTGAGATCTTCTCCAGCTGTCGTTCGCGGAGCACTCAGTTTACCCCAATTCAGAGGCCACCATAAAGATGACGAGATCTTACCAGATACTCCAATGATTAATGCCGTTTCAGGCATTATCCCAGCTTACCAGGTCCCAGCCGACGCAGCGACCAGTGATGAGGGAGTTGAGTCAGAGGGCAATCTCTGGAAATCCATTAATCCGCCGCCCAAGCCACCTGAATTGATTTGGATTGATGGACATGGGTTGGAGGGAAGGAACAAAGAAGAAGCAGGAGGACTTAATGCGGGGAAGACGAAAGGGGGGAAATTTAATGAAAGGCAGAAAGGGAAATCTCCTGCAAGCAGGGTCAACCAGAGTTATTATAGATACCTTGTCACCGGAGATCAGGTATGGGAGAACGAGCCACCAATCATTGAGAACCTTACCGGATACAGAGAGAAGAGAGGAGCCATTAATGGGAGAAGAGGGAGGAGTAAAAGCTCTGGGCATAGCCGCAGGAAGATAGCCACACGGAAAGTACAAAAGAGGATCCATGGGAGGTGGCAGAGGAGAGTTAAGGCAAGCATGCAGATCATCAAATGGCCCATTAAAGGAAAATCGGCAAAAGGAAGATTTACAGATTGGCAGCTGCAATCCTCAGTCTTGAGTGGAGCATTTATTGGGGAGGAGAGCGTTGAGAAGCACCTGAACAGAGGATCAATTCCCTATTTAAGGGGAGTCTTCCTGATGGGGATTTACCATACTCGAACTGCAGCTTTAACCAACAGAAAGTATACCCAACCCCTCTCTGCTCCTATCAACAGAATCCCAAAACCTCACCCCAGCCAACTAAACGCGAACCCCATCATGGAAATGCACTCCAGGAGTCTCAGAGGAGAAAAAAGCCATCTTGTTCTCAATGTAAGACCAACAGTGGTGGGGGCTAGAGGCAGCGGCATGGCGATGCTCCTTGGAAGGTGGGTCACTGACTCGAGCACTTCCCTCCAAAAGGCAAGAAATGCAGCCGTCCACAAGTGGAGGGCTTACGGAGAGGTACAGGCAACCAAAGAGGCAGACAACCTATTCGTGTATTCCTTTCAGTCGGCAAAACAGCGGGATGCGGTTTTTGATGCAAGACCGTGGAACCTAAGCAATACAGTGATCGCGCTCAAGAAGTGGGATGGCGAGCAGAAGGCAGAGATTGACGACATCCCCACGGTCACTTTGTGGGTACAGATGCATGACCTCCCCCAATCATTGAAAGATGAGGAGGCAGTGCAAGCAGTCGCATCGTTCATCTTCCCACAGTTCCATTGCATTGATCACTCCAACTTCGAGTTCAGAGGTTGGCTTAAGTTCATTAGAGCCAAAGTGGAGGTTAACCTGGAAGACCCCATACCCATTGGGTTCGAATATCCGATCGGTGAGCGATCGATATGGGTAAGTTTCAAGTACGAGCGTATTATGGATTTGTGCTACTTCTGCGGGCACCTGGGCCACCTGATTCAAAACTGTCTCGAGCGGGAAGATCACAGAAGAAAGGGCCTTTGCATCGATCCCTCCGAAGTTTACACCGATGCCCTCAAGGCGGGGCATGACTCGCCGGCCAACATCCCGCCAGCGTCGTTCCGAGAAAAACTGGCGAACATGCGCCGGCTGCCTAGTGCTGAAACTGCTATGCAACAAATCCGGGGAACCAGAGGGGAATCTTCCTTGCTAACCCTCATTGGTCACCCAGTGACAGGGTCAGTCCCTAGCCCTGTACCCTATTCCCCTGGGTATGCAGCCCTGCCATTGACAAGCCAGAGCTCAGAGTGGGTGTTCAGAGGAAATGCAGGCCCAGCAACAAGTCAACCGACAATTCTGGAAAAGGAGATGGAAGCAACAGCCAGAGCTATGCAAAGAGGGCTGGACCTAGGAGAGGGATCCAAAAACAGAAGCAGGGAGGATAACGCAGGCCTCATCGAGATGGGCCTGAGCCTGTCACTTGCAGGCCCAACCTTCTCGCCCGCGGAGCCGAGTGTGGCCCCAGCTGCCTTTGGTCAAGCCCAAGTGGAGTCCAACCAGGCCCAGATGATGAACAATAGGCCCGTAAACGAGACTGAATCACAGGCTGCTGAAGGAAGGAACAGGCCTGAAAAGAAGAGGAAACCAGACCAAATGAGCCCAGCAAGCAGCTCTCTGCCAGCACATCCGATGAGCCCAGCGTGCACCTCGCTGCCAACACAAGAGCAGACAACTAACTTTTCTCTTGATTCTCTTTCCTTTGTCCCAGGAGAAGGCAGAAAGACCTACCAGCGAAGGAGAAGCATTATCCGAAGGAAAAGCCTAGCAGATATCACAGAGGATGGGAGTCAGGCCGGGGAAGGGGGATCACCCACCCCGAGGGCGTCGGCGGCAAGCCTCAAGCCGCCAGGTTACGAATGAGAATCCTGAGCTGGAACTGTAGGGGTTTCGGCCAGACCCTTACAAGAAGCTATTGCGGCAGGCTGTGCCGGCAATTTGGCCCCTCAGTCCTCTTCCTTATGGAGACGAAGAAAGATGAAGCGTTCATGGAAGGAAAAAGGAGGGGGATGAGGTTCGATCACGGAGAGTATGTGAATCCAGCCAGCGAAGGAAGTGGATTAGCATTGTGGTGGAATGATGATGTGGATGTTTGTGTGTTGGATAGGTGTAAGTCCTATATGGACATTAGGATTAGTCAGAATGGTGTGGTTTTCTACTGTTCTCTTGTCCATGCTCCTGCCACGGCGGCAGAGAGAAGGGTGTTGTGGGATCGCCTGTCCTCTCTTAGGGCGACTCAAGACGAGTCTTGGCTCATTGTAGGGGATCTGAATGTGGCACTTTTTCCTTTTGAGAAGCAGGGGCGATGCCCCCTTAGGAATGACAATGTAGTCCCATTAAAAATGTTCATGGATGCTAATGGATTAGTTGATCTTGGTTTTTCGGGAGAGGTGTTCACCTGGACCAACAACCAGCAGGGTTCTGATTTGATTAGGGAGCGGCTTGACCGAGCACTTTGCACCTCTAGTTGGCTCCGAGGGTTTGAGAAAGCAAGGGTGTTCCACGAGGACTTTGTGGAATCTGATCACTGCCCGATCAGAATCGATCTTCACCATCTTTCGCCTGCTCCCAATACCCCCTTTCGGTTTGATAAACGATGGAGAGATGATGAGGAGTGCAGACAGATCATCCACGATATTTGGGGTTCAGGGGGATCGATCCAAGGTATTCTGACAGAATGCCAAAGGAGCATCTCGGCATGGTCAAAGAATGATAGGATTCAGAAACTTAAGAGGGAAAAAGAGATGAGACAGAGATTGCAGGAGTTACAGGGACCTGTCAGAAATCAAGTTTTGGTTGACGAGGAAAGTGACCTTCTGAAAGAGCTGGACAAGTGGTGGTCCTCTGAAGAAACTTTTTGGGCGCAGAGATCAAGAAATGGATGGCTCCAAGAAGGGGATCGAAATACGGGGTTCTTCCATGCTAGCACTATCCGCAGGAAGCATAGGAACAGAATTCTTAAGCTGAAGGATAACAATGGAGTTTGGGTGGAGAAGACAGAAGAACTTTATGAGCACGCCAATGAGTTTTATCAACAATTGTTCGAAAGCAGGGGAGGGACCTTTGATCAGACCCTCTTGAATGAGTTCCCGCCGTTGGTTACTAACGAAATTAATGAGTGCCTCTCAGCCGATGTTTCAAAGGAAGAAGTGCGCAAAGCTGTGTTCCAACTTGGGGCTAATAAGGCCCCAGGCCCTGATGGCTTTCCTGGCCATTTCTTCAGGTCTTTCTGGCCTTTGCTGGGAGATGCAATTTGTAAAGAGGTGATCAATTTCTTCAGAACAGGGATCATGGATGAGGGATGGAATGACACTTTTATTACCTTGATCCCAAAGGTGGACCTGCCTGAGTTGATTACCCAGTTCAGACCCATTAGCTGCTGTAATTTCCGGTATAAGATCATATCGAAGATCATGACTATCAGATTGCAACCGTGGCTGCCAAGGCTGGTGAATGAGTTACAAACTGCTTTCACAGGCGGTAGACAAATTCAAGACAATATTATTATTGTCCATGAAGTGCTTAATCAATTCAAAAAGAGTAAGAAGAAGAAGAACAAGGAGATGATGATGAAGCTGGACATGAAGAAGGCTTATGACCTGGTCGAGTGGGATTTTCTTATCAGCCTTTTGAAGGCATATGGTTTCAATGACACGTGGTGTGGATGGGTGCGGGTTTGCATCTCAACTGTTAAGTTCAGGCTGCTGTTCAATGGGGCCCCGTCGAATGAATTTATTCCTTCTCGAGGCATCCGACAAGGGGACCCCCTCTCCCCCCTTCTGTTTATCCTGATGTCTAATGCTCTGTCTTTTCTGGTTGAGAAAGCTGCGCAGAGGAAGGTGATCAAGGGGATCAAGCTGAATATCAATTGCCCTGTTCTCACCCATTGCCTTTTCGCGGATGACACAGTGATTTTTGGAAAGGGTTCGGTTAGGGAAGCAGACATCATCCTCAGCATTCTTAGAGACTATGGTACAGTAACGGGTCAAGAGGTCAACTTGAACAAGTCATCACAGTTTTTCAGCGCCAATGTTACCCCGGAGGAACAGGTAGCTATCACTAATAGCACTGGTTTTGCTGAAGACCGGTGTCAGTCTAAATACCTAGGAGTCCCCACTGAATGGGGGCGATCAAAAAAGGAAACATTCCAGTTCCTCCTCAATCGAATGGAGTCTCGAGGGGAGTCCTGGAAGAGCCTTCTTCTCTCCCCTGGGGGCAAAGAAGTTCTTCTTAAGGCTGTATTCCAGGCAGTGCCTTCTTTTATCATGTGCCTTTTTCTCCTCCCAAGATCAGCCACAAAGAGGATGGACTCCATGCTCAAGAACTTTTTCTGGAGCGGATCAACATCAAAGAAAACAATCCATTGGAGAGCGGGGCAAGTTCTATATGCCCCAAAAGAGGAAGGAGGGCTTGGTTTCAGACCCTTCCACACTGTCAACCTTGCTTTATTGGCTAAACAGGTTTGGCGAGCTATCACTAATCCTGAAGCCTTGTGGGTAAGGGTCTTGAAAAGCATCTACTTCCCTAAGACGGACTTGTTAAATGCAAAGAAAGGGGGGAAGGCATCCTGGATTTGGGCTAGCCTTTGGGAAGCAATAAAATGGATGAAGAAGGGCATCATTAGAGTCATTGGAAACGGAAAATCAACACGAATGTTCCAAGACCCTTGGAGATTTGATCGACCGGGCAAACTCCTTGATTTTGAGTGGCCAGACGAGACAACAGTGGATCAGTGGATTGATGGGATCCGTCGAGAGTGGAGATTTGACCTTCTTGCTGGTTATCTCAGTCCCTCGGATCTTTTACAGGTGTCGGCCACCCCAATTGGACCAGATTCTTTGGAGGACAAATGGGCTTGGAGATTCACAGAGGGTGGCGACTTCTCAGTAAAGTCGGCTTTTCACATGATTCATAACTTGCTGCGGAGGGAACAGAATTCCCAGATGGTTGACATATCGAGTAAAGAGAAATGGAAATGGCTATGGAGTCTTTCCCTCCCACCTAAACTGAAGTTCTTTATTTGGAAATGCACCAGAGGGGCTATTGCAACTAAGGAAAACCTCTTCTCTCGGCGGTGCTCGGTCACTAAAGCCTGCCCTCTCTGTGCTGAAGCTATTGAATCGATCCATCATGTATTGTTTGAGTGCCCTCACGCGGCTGCTGGGTGGTTCCAGGGCTGGCCTTCGCTGGTTGTCCCCCCTCTCTCCACTCACCTGCTTGACTGGCTCTTCGCACTGCAAGACAGGTATCCCCTCCCCACAGTCCATAAGGTTGTCTTCCTGTTGTGGCAGACGTGGAAAGCCAGGAATGAGTTTATTTTCCGGAATAAACCTCCATGGCCACCCAGTACCATCGCTAAGGCTGTGAATGAGTCACAACAGTGGGAATGTTGCCCTGCTATACCAACAACCTTACCACCTCCAGTTCAGTTAAACCCATCCCCGGATCACCTTACTCCACCGCCGAGTATTCATCTTTTTGAAATACAGTGTGACGGTTCTTTCTTTGAAACCTCACAGCAGGCGGCATATGGCGTTGTTGTATCAAATGTCCATGGACAAGTGTGTGACGGGGTAGCTGAACCCCTGCATTGTTTGTCATCAATTGAAGCTGAAGCAAAAGCGCTGTTTGAAGGAGCTCTTCTGGCATCCAGCCTCCAAGGTCCATGTCTGGTCCGATCTGATTGCCTGACCATCGTTAAGGCTGTACAAGGAATGTTGAAGCCGTGGCCATGGCGGGCGGCTGCATGGATTGGACGCACCATTAGAACAATCGAAGACCACCCCTGGATCAAGGTCTCCCACATCAAGAGGGCTGACAACACAAGAGCAAACTGGGTTGCTAAATCTAGAGCTAAAAATGTTCTCCCAAGTCATTGGGTTCACGTTCTAGATGTCATTTCCCACCTTTTGTAAACAGCTGGGTTTTCTTATTAGCCTCAATGAATGAAAAACAATACCTTTGGTCAAAAAAAAAAAACACAACTAATAGTCTGACACACACATTATATAGAGAGAGTTGGCTACATCCGCAGTCCATGTAGATGACGATGCTTCGTGTCGTACATATATAATCAAGCTTTAACATGAAAGAAAACTATTGTTGCGTATGTTTCTAAAGTTTTTCTCAATAAATCATCTTTATTGACCACAACACGGGTTGTAGACGAAAAATTGCAGGATTCAAAGTATATAGTGCATGATGCAGAGTGATCATATCACAAATATGACCAACAATAATGTAGTATTGCCATGCATCAATGTAGTAATTCTTGAAGAAGTAGATTCAACTAATTTAAACAACTGGTTACAAATATGCGAATTTTCAAATCTCTTACCGGTTGCAATCTAGCTAGTGAAATGCCGTCAAAACCTAGTTTTAAAGTATAAAAGTATATACTTCCACGATTTAGACCCCGAAATGTTGTAGATTTTGTTCAAAAAGCTTTTTTCACTAAAAGTCTAAGTAAAAGCCTAGAAGCTAGCTTTTAAATCACTCTTTTTAACATGAAAGAAAACTATTGTTCGTATGTCTCTAAAGTTTTTCTCAATAAATCATCCTTATTGACCACAACACGGGTTGTAGACGAAAAATTGCAGGATTCAAAGTATATAGTGCATGATGCAGAGTGATCATATCACAAATATGACCAACAACAATGTAGTATTGCCATGCATCAATGTAGTAATTCTTGAAGAAGTAGATTCAACTAATTTAAATAACTGGTACATTTACAAATATGCGAATTTTCAAATCTCTTACCAGTTGCAATCTAGCTAGTGAAATGCCGTCAAAACCTAGTTTTAAAGTATAAAGTCTATACTTCCATGATTTAGACCCCGAAATGTTGTAGATTTTGTTCAAAAAGCTTTTTTCACTAAAAGTCTAAGTAAAAGCCTAGAAGTTAGCATTTAAATCACTCTTTTAGACTTTTGATATTCGAGTATTAGCACAATACTGTGCAATGGTTCGATTTGAAATGGACCAGATCTTGAGAATCGCGGTCCAAAAGTAAAAAAAAATGTTTAGGACCAAGGACCAGACCAACATTGTAATCGGTCAGGTGTGGTTTGGTCTGGTCCGGTCCAAATATCAATCAGCCTCATTTTCCTTTAGTATTTATGATTGCAATATATTTGGTTCGGTTTGGATGTTGGTTTGGTCTAATTTGATCTGCTCTCAAACAAACCATTGAATACTCTACCATATTGGGTTGGGTTTGGTTTATTTTGGTTGGCCAAAAGAGAAGAAAAAATTACATAGTTTTAAAGGCATCTCATGTTCTCTCAAACAGTGGTGGAGTTCCCCTATTCAATTTTGAAATATAGATAAACCTATTTGTAAAATTTTCATAAATTTAGAAATTAGAATAGTCGGTTAAACTTTAGCTCACCTCCCATAATTACGACAATTCAAATAAGCTCCTCGTTCAGATTCCTGACTTCACCGTTACTCTCAAGTCTCAACCTTCATTACTTTTAACAACACTCTTTAGTTTTTTGTTATTAGGTACTGTATGAATTAATATCCCCATTCTAAAGTTATCCCAATTCACATAATTAAATCTGGTGCCAAAATTCACAAAGTTAAAACAAACAGCCCACGTTGATTATCAAGATAAACAACAAAGAAGCCAAGGACAAAATTTCCCCACGTAATTATGTTATTACCTAGGTGAAAATGGTTAGGGATCAACTCTAAAACGCTAGCGCTTCTTCCAGTTGTGGTTGTCGTTCCCCATGTCGGCCACCACTGATCGCATATAATCGCCAAATAACGAACCACGTGAGCAGGGAAAGATGGATTATTTCAATCACGTTGGGAAAGACCCAAAGCAGGCCCAAATGGGCGAAGAAGAGAGCCCATTTCGTGTATCTATGAAGGCAGAATTGACTACGGTCTACGGACAATAAAACGCACAGCACCAATTAATTGGTGAGAAATGACAAAACCAACCTTCCGAAAATCAATATCAGAGCAGCATTTTCAAAATGGGAAAAAGTGAACCCATGAATCTCCATTATAATACTTGTAGATATATACCCAAAATCGAAAATTTACAAGTATTATACGAGCTTTGAATCCGGGGAGGACCGGACCGTAGCCCGGGGCGGCCCCTAAATACGCCGCTGACCATTGACCAACAGTAAACAATAAATGTAAATTCAGTGACTACAAGTATAACAAAAATTTCTTAGAAAAAACGGCCCAGTTGCATGGCCAAGAAAGCCGGCTGAATCCTTTGGGTCCGGGGTAGGTCTACTACTAGACATTTGTGGGCTGAATATTGAGCCCAATAGTTGGCGTCACTATGGACACGGTTCCAACCTCCACGTAAGGTATTTCAGGAAAAGGAGCGGCCGAGAAATGTCGGCGGGGCCGGTTCTTGTCGCCGGCTGTTGAGGAAGACATTACAGCAGAGAGCGATAGAGAGGGGAAGTTTCTTGTTTCTTCAGTTTCAGCAGCGACCACCCAAAACCCAAGGATAAGGTGCAGTAACGGGTAACGCCCGCTGCTGCCCAGCCGTTAAAAAAGTGGATGGGGAACTCCCACGGCCACCACCGCAGGCACCATAACGGCGGCGGCGGGCAACCTCCCTATCCCTGTCCTCCACCAGCCCATATGCCCCGACCAGAAGATCAGGCCCCTGCGAGCGCCGGCGCTTCGAATATGGCAACTTCGCTGCCCTATGCTCACGTCGACTCCGCCTTGCGCTCCCTCGCCGGCCAAGCTGAAGGGTTTGGCCGCTTTGCTGTCGGTGGCTTCCATGGAGCCCTTCATTGCGTCACCACTTTAGCAGGTTTGCTTCATTTTCTGTCTGATTGGAGCTTGAATTTTGGTTAATCCATACCTTGGTTCAGTTCTAGAATTGGGTTAGGTCTCCAATTCCCGACTTGTATGATTAAGGGAAAATGGAGCTTGCCCCCAGACTGCAATTTTTATTCAGCGTCGCCAATGGTTTGTCTGTAAATGGCTTATGAATCCAAAGTTTAGATGTGTACTGACATGGTGGCTCGATTAGCATTCCTTAAGTAATTAGTAATTGGATGCCTAATGTGGCTCATTTTTCATGGGGGTATGATCTTGTAGATGATGGGCCAGGATCTTTGAGAGAAGCATGCAGGAAGAAAGAGCCGTTGTGGATTGTTTTCGAGTTATCAGGCACCATTCATCTCAATTCTTACTTGAACGTCTCTTCCTATAAGACCATCGATGGCCGAGGCCAGAGAATCAAGCTTACAGGGAAAGGCTTGAGGCTTAAAGAATGTGAGCATGTGATTGTGTGCAATCTTGAGTTTGAAGGAGGGAGGGGCCCCGATGTTGATGGCATTCAGATAAAACCCAAGTCGAAGCACATATGGATCGACCGTTGCAGCCTTAGTGATTATGATGACGGGCTGATAGACATCACGCGAGAGAGCACAGACATCACCATTTCCAGGTGAACTATGTTATTGTTCTTGAAATTCAATAGTTATACTGAAACAGGGTGTGTTCTACTCGCCCTGATGCTAGCAGATTGCCCTCACACATTTCCTGCAATTGGATTGTTCCAGTGGCATGGCATGCTCCTGGTCCAATGATTAAGAGTGCGCCTGAACCAGCAACATTAACACACACTGAATGCTCGTGCGTCAGCTCAGTATTCAAATGGATTGATCTTTGATGTAGGTTTGAGTTCAGCTATTGGAACTAGCTGTTTTAATTCAGTGGAGGTTATGTTCAGGTGTCACTTTTCCCGGCATGATAAGACCATGCTTATCGGAGCAGACCCATCTAATGTTGGCGATCGATGTATGCGAGTCACAATCCACCACTGTTTCTTCGATGGAACGCGGCAAAGGCATCCTCGTGTTAGATATGGGAAAGTGCATTTGTACAACAATTACACCAGAGGCTGGGGCATCTATGCTGTTTGCGCAAGTGTGGAATCACAGGTTCTGTATCATTAAGTTATCTATATATACCTTAGTGCAACTTCTCAGTGATTGTTATGTTGGAATTGTTTGTTTGAAAGTCTGATATATCCTTTTTTTTTGGTTTTATCACCACAGATATACTCCCAATGCAACATATACGAAGCAGGACAGAAGAAGGTTGCATTTAAGTACCTCACTGAGAAGGTGAGCGTGTCCCAGTTCGCCCTACCGCGAAGTTCTGCAAAAGTATATCAAAATGGTGATGTGAACAACCATTTGTGGGTTGTCCAAAACCTTAAGGAAATGATGCTGTTTTTTTCCCCAGGCAACTGATAGGGAGGAAGCCAGCTCGGGCCACATAAGATCTGAAGGAGACGTGTTCATAAATGGAACTCAAGCCGGGTTAATGGCCATGGGCGACGAATTATGCATCTTCCATCCCAGCGAATTCTACCCGACTTGGACTGTGGTGCCCGCGACAGAAACTCTTAAGCAGCTTCTCCATCGATTTACAGGGTGGCAACCTGTTGCGCTGCCAGTTGATCAGCCGATTGCTGTGCAGTGATGTTCATATACAGCCACATACATACAAGAACGCTGAAACTTCTCCATCTGCAATTACATTCCTACTGTACTTTAAAGTAGATATGGATGAATAAAGAGGCTTTGCTGTAACATGATCTATTTCGGTTCACCTGTAAGTTAATCTTCAATAAGGTGATTTCTGTAATGCAATAACTCTATGTGTCTAAACTACAAGATACGATGAATGGTCTGATCTATTAATGGGATCGCAACCTTCTCCATTATGAATGTTATGTCAGTTATTCACTGGCGTATACTATCGTTCCACTTTTTTTCAAAAGTGTAATCATGGATAGAGACAGTGCGATAAGTTCAAAATAGATGTGTCCTTTTATTTGATATAAATATATGTAGATTTTTTTAATTAATATTCTTCATTAATAAAATAAAAATAATTTATTAATACAAATTTCTTTCTTGTTAACAATCGTGACGTGTTTCCATATCTAGAAAAAATAATACGAAAATATTAATCACCTATATTCTTAAGTCGTGTATCCAACTAAATCTCTTTTGTTGTATATAAAACTACTCGTATTGCATAAATGTCTAGTATTCGAATACTATATTTACATACCTATGTGGGGATTAAAAAAAGTGTTCCCAAATTTTAGGTTTGTCTGCGTGACAGAGCCCAACAGGCCTGACTCCTCCGCCACTGTCTCTAGCATGGAGTTACGTCTAGCTCAAGGGTGTAAAGGAAGGAGCGTTTCATAGGAGGCAACCCATATATGGCGTTCAACTTAAGTACGTAAAATGAAAGTGCTACCGATGAAACAACTCGGGTTTGTGGACTATCATCATCATCCGCATCACTCTTCTCTCTCAAAACATCCGCTTAACATTGAAAAACTTCGATGTAAGTAACCACTAGTCTTAGATTGATTAAGGATGCATTTATTTCGTTTGAATTGGAATATTTATATATCTACTTATGTCAAACTAATTCAAATTTGGGTAAATACAATATATTAGCCATAACTATCAAGGAGCGCAAAATAATAGCCACAATTATGGAAATACTAATTATTAGTCATATCTACTATTGCGGGTAAATGGATAGCTAAAACCCCGTTACCATTATTATTTTTGTAACGGGGTCGGCACGTCAGCCGCCACGACGCCTTCCACGTCGGATTATAATTAACTATTTAATTTTTTAATTGTTTACCCTTTATAAATATATGTCTTCTTCCTAAAACCTAGGTCTGGCTAACAAGCAACGAGAGAGCAGCGATGGCACAAAGTAAGAGAAGGTCCCCGCCATCGTTGCCTGCCGTTCATTCTTCCTAAAAATCACTTCTTCTACATACTATAGATAGAGACTCAAACTAGAGCTTTTACATATACTTTTATGCACACTAAACAGACAAAGTTCTGTCGGAGCTCGACGAGGATGCCTTCACTATCGATGGCATCATCATCTATGGTGATGTCTTCTTTATTTCATATGACTAGCTAATTAAATTTGTATTGGTTAAGGATGTGAATTCTTTGATACTTCATGCATTTACTTTCTATGATTATTACTCTAGTGCATACTACAATGTCTTCTTAAATTTGTGTCTTTCCCTTTTTCTTAATCTAAACCATGTTTATTTCTTGGGTTCTTAGTTACCAAGCATGTGAATCTTTCACTCTTAGACTCTTTCAAGTACATTACAATGTTGTGTGAATGTATATAAAAAAAAGAAATGTACATCGTGAATAAAGGACTTTGCCACTCCAAAACTTTCACTTTCTCATAGACAAGGAAAATTCAAACTTTTTGCCGCTCGACAGCACCTCAATTCCTTACGAGTTTATTACCGTTTGTTAACGAAGTCGCAAAGCATTTTTTGGAGTGCATAAGGATCCATTATGGTATCTTCCGGTTTAGTTCTATGGCTGGCTAGATAAATCACCATAAGGTTCAACTCCTAATTTTGCTGAGTTATATATTCACCAAATGGACTGTTTAAGATCACCAAAATGTTCAACTCCTAATTTTGCGAGTTATACATTCATAGAATGAATAAATAAGTTGAAAATCGACTCCATTATAGCATTAAATAAGATAATTTGAATCATGCACGTGAAGTTATTGTCATCGCGTTGAAGGAAATATTAGTTGCATATTATATCTTGCTCAAACAATTTAGATGCGTCAAACACAAAATCAATGAAAGATAAAACTGTTGACCACTCGAACACTTAATATACGTGAGGTGGCTTCTACGGTACCCCGGGTGAAATCTGGGGTATCACATTCTTTGAGTATGAAAACGCTATCTAGACCTCGAATTAGCAGGGTTTTGGGACTGATACTATACCCTAACCCTTAATGAGTGAATCCTAGGTCCTAATTATCTAAATCATAAACTATAAATCCTAATCTGGTGCATTCATTTTTATGCATATATTTGGACGAATCATAACCACCGATTATTATTTCTAATTAAATTGATATTGAGGTATAAGATTTAGATAATTAAGACCTAGATTTTGATCTTTAAGGATTAGAGTATAATATCATGTCCGAAAGATCAGTCAATTCAAGGTTTAGATAGCCTTTTTATACTCAAGGTATGCGATAACCCGAATTTCACCCTACCATATACATGAATATGATATTCCAACTAGTGATGAAGTCGCAACTCTTATCGGTTGATATCATTATTGATCTTGCTAAACCACACTAAATGTAGTATATCTATCCTACCACACGGAATAATCAAATAATCAGAATAAATGAATTATAAGAAATAGGATCCCAACACCATTAAATAAAAATGACAAATTGTAGGAGGAAAAAAAAAAAAAAAAAACAAAACATGCAATCTATCCGGCGAGACAAAACTAGTTTGTGTTTAGGTCATAAGGGCCTTAGTTAGTAAAATTAGTCTATAGAACCTTAAGGGCTATATACTTTGGATTAGTCATAGGGCTCCCTTAATTCGTCTATAAGTACCTTTTTCTCCCCCTCGTTGGAACATAATACACGCGTTTTCTTTGGTACGTACCTTCTACTTAATTTTGTCACATCTGATTTGATCGTTGGAATACCAATTTCAAATTAGTCATAGAATGGTGATCCAACCATCAAGCAATATTCAGCCCCACATCTCGAAGCAATTGCTGAGTTATTGGGACCAAGTGGTTAGTTCGCTAACATGGTATCAGAGTCTAGAACCGAAAGGTCATGGTTTCGAATCCTCATAACGACCCCCATTTCATGCCAATTCGTTTAGCACAAGGAATGATATGTCCAACCTGTGCAAACTAAAGCCTCGTGGTTTGGCAGCACAAGGATTCAACCTATATGCAAACCGTAAAAATCCACAATTCGGCATCGGCTTTCGTTTGAGGGGGCGTATAAGAGGTTAAAAGGTTTAACTATCCCTTTCCCAACAACTCGAGTTATTGGGACCAAGTGGTTAGTTCGCTAACATGGTATCAGAGCCTGGTTTACCATCGAAGTTCAGTCCCAATCGTAATTAGGTGTGTCATTTATCACTAACGATTCTTGCTTGCTTTAGTTTGCCACCACCAAATCTGTGTAGTGGGAGAAAGGATCAACCTTGCTGGACTTGGATCATTTGTTTGAAAACAGTATCGAAACTGAGGAATCCCACTCTTTCATTTTCCCCCTCTTGATTGAAGGGACAGAAACGCCGTAAGGGGCCATCGAGCGCGCGGCCAGGATTGCCTTGCCTGTCTGTCGGTGGCTGTTCCGTGGCATGCATGTATTTTGCAAAAATGCTGTCTTTCCGTCTCCGTCGCTTTCATTCAGAGCCAGCGTAGTTTTTGATGCATGGCCCCGGCGCTCGTCTCGTCAAGACTCGGATAACGAATTAGTCTTGCGATTGACAATGATATACCAAGTCATATGTGCCCATAAAAACTGGAGGGTAGAGTAATTAATGTGTTCATAATGTCAACTTGGGTTCTAGTTTTGAAGACGTGTAGTAATTAATACACAGAGTTGAAAAACAACAGCCATATATACGCTTTTGGGTTTGGGTTTGGGTTTGTGAGCAGGGTTCCGCCAAGTGGTGGCAAATATATGGAATTCATCAATTGATGGTTTTTATTGATTTGAGAGATTAAATGGATTTGTGCGTTCGTTAATTGATTTGGTTAATTGTGTGTGGATAGATTGAATTGGATTGACAGATTGGATTCAAATTGTTTTTTTTTTCTTCTCATTTCATGGGTTGTCTTCTTTCATGCCATGCCCTATTGCTATTGGTAAGGGTGAGTGGGTGAGCAAGTTGGGTGCTTGACCCGCAGTTAGACATTGATCCACACTCACAATCGATCTGAACCATTGTGGGTGGGGTGATAAATGTGTATGGACTATGGATCACGAGTCGGTAATTCTCTCGCTCGTACACTTGTTATGGTGAGTGGGGCGTGCGTCACGGGAACGATCAGCAACTCATTTTTACGTGACGAAATATCTGTTTTTTTTCTCCATATTATCAAATGCATATTTTCTGACCGTCTCACACACTAAACTTTAAATTTTAAAACTTAAAAAAAAAAGTTGTTTTAGACTATTACTATTGATTACTGTGTTGTCTAATGTGCATTAGATATTGAAATGTAAATTAAATTATTAATTGTATCAAAGTGACAATAATCATTATTTTTCCTACAATCGTCCCTAGTGATATTACTGATATGTGATTAATGACTTTTCTCTATTCTCCTTCAACGAGTATTTCATTCAAAGTTAACAATTGAAAAGTTTGTGTAAGTAATACAGCATTATGTATGTCACAACTCACAAGTACCAGTAATCAATAGTAATAGTCTAAAAACATAAATGTTAGTTAACCAGTCTCATGGCTAGTTGGAGAATCTATTTTGCAGGTTAACCTGTAATTTAACCACATCATCTATCACCCACCCAATAAAATTCGAAAAAGAATGTGAATGAATAGTAAATAATAACTAAGAATTATGTATACTCGTTAATAAGCAATTGTGGATAAATTTGAAACGAAATGATCTACTCAACCCACCAAATGCCCTCCCCAAGCTATATGGCCTGGTGAATGTGACGAATTGTAGACTTCCTTTTGTCACGGTTATTTGACTTAGCTAGCCAAGCGATTTCGTTTCCTAGGTTGGCATTTAATAAATTTTGACCTTGTCGTTTCACCAAATCAGAAATCTAAAGATGACTGTTTCAAAAGTTATATTTCATGTATGATAACTACCCCTTCGCAAAACAAAACTGAACATGCATGATTTTCCCGTCTCTGATAAGCTCGGGCGG